AACAACCCGCCAGTGATCCCACCAAGCAGACCACCACCACCACCAAGAAGACCTCCTCCAAGGCCACCCAACAGGTCTCCACTTCCATCTGTGCTGGGACGTCCACTTCCGAGCGGCACCTCGCTGAGAGCACCTTGGAGGGCATTGCCTTGCCTGAGCGAGCCTGTAAGAGCTGGGAAGATCGCCCGCCGTCAGCCGGCCAGGCAGAGCTGCCTCCTCGGCCGCCGCTGTGGCCTTCGAGCGGGGAGCGGGGGGACGCAGCCCGGAGCGGGGACCGGTGGGCAGCTGCCAGCCCCCTGCCCGCACCACTACTCGTTGTGTCCTCAGGCATGTGTTGTCAAGCATCTTGTGCTCTCCATTGCCATCGCTGTCTATCCCAGTCCCTAACCACCTCCGGTCGGTTTTGCCCATGTATGATGCAACAGAAAAAGGGCTTTGGGATCAAGGACAGGAGGCACCTTGTTAAGATCTGTGTAAAGTCTCTCAGGGGAATTTGTCTGCAGCCACGCCAGGTAAGAACAACAGATGGTGCGGCACAGTCACAGGGGTTGGGCACTGATAAACCCTAAATGTGAGACAATTGAGGTCTCACACCTCCTGAGCAGCGCAGGCTCCCGGGAGGAGCAATCCCCACACCAGCAATGTCTTTCTCCGTTTAGGACCCTGGCCGGTTGAAATGTTAATCACATAACAAAATGACTCCAGGTTCAGTTTGGAGGAGGAGGTTTCCAAGCAAGCCTCATCCTCGTCCCCTTCCATGTGCAATTCCCCTCCCTTCCCCGGCTGGTCAGGCTGTGCTGGTACAAGGGTCTCAAGGTCCAAGGACCACCGGCAGTTCCTGGTTCCCAGGGTCCCGCTGCGAGGAGGCAGTGACTCACCATTGCTTAAAACACCTTTACTGAGCCTGAGGACGGCATCTTTTGTCTCGCTTAATGATGGGGTGAGCAGGGCATACAAGAGGGCGATGCCCAGAGCCGATGGCATGGTGTCTTCTGCTCGGCTGTGGGTGCTGGCAGGACCTGGGGAAGGACAACAGGAGAAGGGTGTAAAAAGACTGGGTGACCCCCTGGAGATGAAGGGGAGTCAGATATTTTGAGCTGAGTGAAAATTTTTCAGTGAATAGAAAACACGAGCTTTAGGAGGACCAAAACCGTCCAGGAGTTAGAGCCACGTTTGCCAAATAGATCTGGACACACACAAAAGAGGGGAGCGAGGGGCATCCGCATGCACCGCCGCAGGGAATTTTTCAAGCCAGCTGCTGCACAACCCCAGCACCTGTTTGCTTATTCCTCTTTATGGGCACCGCAGGCAATGTGCTCCTTTCCATCCCTGGTCACCGTGACATAACTGTACACTTACAGTGTGAAATTGTTACTACTCATAACCTACAGACTACACTGCACTCCCCTTACTAATTACCGCCCTGTAAATGGGTATGCAAATTAATGCTGCAATTATACAAGCAACTCACATTTGGAATAAAGCCTTTCTTTTTAAAATGGCATGTTTTAACCTTATAACAACAAAAATAATAATAACAACCTTAAAAGGGTATTGCAACACAAAAAATCCCTACCTCTTTGTGTCAAATGAATATGTTTTTCTTAAGTGAAGGGTTTTCATTTTACTATAGCAACCTTCTTTTCTGATTTTTCAGGCTAGTCACTAAGTACAAACCAGAATTACTTACCTGCGTTGCTACCATTCCCATGGGTTTTTTTCTTGCTCACCAGAGTATGTCGTAAGGCTTGTAGGTAAAATGGTGGCTCTGTCCCCCCAAGCTTACAACACCCCATACCACTGTTCGGACCATCTTTCCTTACCTGGCCGTACCCTGAATTTCAAAGCCTGGCTTTCGTCTTCAGTGCTCAGCTCTTGGTCAAGGGGAGACCTTACAGCTGTCCATAGGCACCCCTGCTTTCACGTGTAGGAGCAGTGGGTCCTTATATAGCAAAGCTGACGCAGAAAAAGTGGAAAGATGCCTAAATTGTAAAAGCTGGGCTAGTGGATCGGGTGTATAAAGCAGGATTTGTGGTTTTAATATATTCCAATATAAATAAAGATTTGTAAAACAAGGAAAAGCGTTGAGCAACAGGTTACTGGATACCCCGTTATCGGGCAGCGCTGTTACCCAAGAGCCCAGGGCTAAAGCAAAGGAGAGGGAGCCCGAGGCTCTGGGCTGCAGCACGTGAGGCTGCTGCCGAGCCCAAAAGAGCTGCGCTGGAAAATCAGCTTATTCCAGACAAATCCCCGCTAACACTTGCACACATGCTGCCGCACGCCAACTGCTGTATCGGGGTAATTTTTCAAGTTTCCAGCGAACGCGTGGGGAGGCTCTAGCAAAGCACTGGGAGATTTTTATCTCCTTTAGTGCTCAGCCCAAGAAGCTGTTCCTGAGGATTATCCCACCCGTCCCCGCAGCTGCCAGCTGCTTCCCGGCGGATGGTATTTCCTTAGCCTCAGAAAATCCCCTGTGCGGTAGGACACGCCGCTCCTCATCGGCTCCAGACCACAAGGGCGCTTCTGTCCTGGTGTCCTCAACATTTAATACCTTTCTGAGATAAAAAATATGTTGCTAACAACCCGGTGCATCTTACAGAATGAGCGGTACGGACGTGCCAGCTCAGTTTGTCTGTGCCTGGCAACGAGCGGTACGGAGGTGCCAGCTCAGTTTGTCTGTACCTGGCTCCGTACAGAGCCTCGCACAGCGAACATCGCCAGGCTCCGTGGGGGACATGCTGCGAAGGAGCCCCTGGCAAGTTGCTGCTCCCCCTGCAGTGGCTGCAACAAGGGCTCCAAAAAAGTGGGAAAAGTCAGCAAGCAAGTTGCTAAATCTGCGCCGTCGTTGCCTTGCGAGCACCTCCTCTGCCCCCCGTCAGTCCGGCACAAGCGGCACCTCGCCGGGCAGGCGATGGGTTGCAGCCGGGCACCCACCTGCACCAAACCCCAGTTCTGAGCCAGCTGCTGTTTCACACCCCGTGCCACAGGCTGAGCTTCAAAAGCGCCTTCCGTAAAGTACCGGTTTGTTCGCTGTAGGCACAGCCTCCTCTTCATCTGTGCTGCCTGTCCGTGGCCATGGGGCGTAGGGGCACGGTGGAGAGCAACAGATGCTGGCAGCCAGAAACCCGCATCAATATTCAGAGAGAGAAATACTGAGGCAATGAAGGATTTTATTGAAAGAGCAACACGAAAGCAACCTTTATGCCTAAGAAAGAGCTCTGCTTCCTGACTATGGATAATAGGAGTGACCACAGAACCCCCCTAACACCCACCAGCCGCGCAGCTTTCC